AAGACCATATGAAATATCATTATAATATAATGATATCAGCTTGCTATTGATTTTTTAAAAAAAATAAACAGACTAAATCATATCCCAGCCCAGGAGCAGTGTCCTTTAAAGCAATGACCTTGGAAGCTTGTATGGTAATTCCATGTGTGTGGCAATTGTTCACAACATATTAGAACTCCACTTAGACTTGTCTTTGGAGCCAGTTTTTTTTTAAGATTTTACTTACTTATTTTTGTAGAGAGCAGAAGGGAGGGAGAAAGAGAGGGAGGGAAACACCAATTGCATGCTCCTAACCGAGGACCTGGCCTGCAACCCAGCTACGTGTCCTGATCAGGAACCGAACCAGTGACCTTTGGGTCCACAGACAGGCGCTCAATCCACTGAGCCACTCCAGCCAGGGCTGGAGCCAGTTTACACACTCACCAGATAATGGTTCATCATGTGATAATCACACTACTTTGGGGGCCAAAATCAGCACTGCCTGACTTAATCACCCCCTTCAACCTCTGGGGGAAAAATAAATCCAACTTAAAAGATGAATATTTGTTATTGTTAGATAAGATAGGCAGCAAACCAAGGCAGGCAGGAAGGAGGAGAGAGGCATGTCTCACCTGCTGACTCAGCAGTCCTGAGCATGGTCCAATAATATTGCAAGATGTTCCAACATCACAAGAAACACCATGCTGACAAGGGAGGGGGGAAGTCCTGGAAATTCTAAGTATCATCTCCACTATCTAGGAAAGAAAGCCTTTGAGACTGTGCTTTCATCCCAAGGCCTGAAAGGTGGGAAAGAGCCCACAGCGCCCAAAGGAAAAAGCCCATAAACACCTTTGGGCATCCACACACCCCCAGCCCCCTCCCCACCCCCTGCAAAGCTGGCACCACCTTTACCTGTCAATCGATATGTAACTTCTTCCCCCCCATCATGCCAACTGTGTAAGTCCTCAGAACAAAGGACCTGGGACCTTGCCATCCTTACCCTTGCCTTTCTTCCCTGCTTTAGCAAGGTCCTGTTCTCTTGCAGGAGAACATATCACCACTAAGCTTGCTTGCATGCTAATAGACTTGCTGACCTGTAATTCTTTACTGCGTCAGCAAGAAGAAGCTCAGTTCTCCTGTAACATTACACATAGGAAAATCAAAAGAATGACCTGCCGTGGCTCTGGAGGCAATCTGCATTGGGAGTGGAAATCACACTTTAAAAAATCACAGGATGCAATTTTACAGGGGTACCAGTTGTTTGGTGGCCTACATTGAGATAAATGTATTGTTTTTAATTAGGATTTAACGCCTGACAAACACTCCCATATTAGAAGGTAGGTACTTCCAGTTTTCTTCCTCCGGCCCAGCACTCTAACCCTTGTGCACCCCCAGAGCTTCTCTCCCAGCTATCGTCACTGCGGTCACTTTTCTGTGTGCTCTGCTTCCTATACCTCAACCCTTGCCTCTTAACTCTCATCCACTCATTGTTCTCGTTCATCTCATTCATACGTCTCTGGGCAAATACTTCTGCAAGCTCTTGACCTTTCTCTCTGATTTAAGCCTCACAAGGCCAGTTCCCAAACAGAACTGGGGAAATAAAGCCAGAGTGTGGGGAAATAAAGCCAGAATCTGGTCTGGTGGTTGTAAGAAGAGGAATTTAGTGAGGCCTAAATTCCTCTCTGTCTGCTGGAGGCATTCAAGACTCTATCCGCTGGCTAATAGGAGATAATGTCAGTAGAAATTAAGTGGGCTTGGGTTACACGGCACTCTGTAAGTTAACACAACAATAGAGAACACAGCTGTAATGAGCTATTCTGGCAAGGCCAAATTATTTGTCCAACATGGGAATCATTAACACTTCATTCATTATTAAGTTGGAAAACAGTTGGTTGGATTCTCTAAAGGGTCAGCTGCCAGACATAAGTTCAGAGATGGAAATAATCATGCTCTTACAGTGATATTTCCTTAGGAGTATAATGTACAAATTAGACACAGAAACTCTCAGGGAAAATTAAAGCCCTGTGAATTCCAAGCATTTACCTAAGTTTCTACAGTTGAGTAAAATTTCTAAAGAAATTTCCCAATGGTCTCTCGCTAAATCTTTTTAATTTGATGGTGGGAGGAAGAAAAATTCCATGGCATGTGCCACCCCAAAACTACACTAGAGAGCTTAACAGCTCAGTACGTCCAACACCGAAGTGGTGGGCAGATCAGGACTCACAGAACAGCCTCTCCTGGCCCTGCTGAATGAGCCACAATTCAGAGGCTGGTGGATTCCACACCCCTGTGGGAGTGATGTGAAAGCAAGTTTCTCAGTCACCAACTCCCAGATGCCTGAAGAAAACAGATGGGTCAGCTTCACATTGCAGAATTAAAACCTTCCCCTTCAGAGGTGGAAAAACAAATAAACGAAAAACAAAGGTGGGGGTCTAAGACAAGGTTTGGAATTTGCACATTCATGAACTGACCATTCCTCTGAGAGCTGAGTTGTCTCTTCATAGAGCATTTGCATGGTGAGTATAGCTAGTTGGGACCATTGGGTACCATACCAGAAAATTCTTTATTTTACAACCTACTGACTTCTGCCTAAAATTTTCCATGGGCCAAATTTCTACTGCGGGGACAACCGGTCAGGTGTGTGCTGGCTCTTAGCCATTGTCTGTGCCAACACCAAACAATGAGTGTTTATTTGGAATACGGCCCTGGGGCGTCTTTAGAATTGTCAGAAGGAAGGCCTGTGCTCAAAAATGAAAGGAATACCACCCAAAATCCCGCCTAGTCTCCATGCAATTGTTAGGAGCACAGGGCACCCATGTTATAAGGCTTAGAATATTTGTTTCCTGAGAAAACCCACCTCAAGAAGAGGAACACCACAAAAAATAGGGCAATGTGAATCTTCCCTGTGTATCCCAGAACAATTCCTGCTTCTTTTCCACAATGTTCTCCACACCTGCTCAAACACATGCATCAGCTCCTACCTTTGCGTAGCTTACTCTGGGGTTCGGCAGTTTCCCTTTACTACTGCAAACAAAGGCCAAACCTTGTAGAGGCCTTCTGCATGATCTGAGGGCTGAGGCATTTCCCCCAGATTTCAATCTTCCCAAACAAAAAGGAGAAGGAAGAAAGCCGGCCAGTCTGCATACAATCCACACTAAGACACGTGCAGGTGCCCAGATCCATTCCAGGCTTTGTCTGGCAAGTGCTCGAGGGAGAAAACATGTGTGGATTTTAGAGACCTGTCTGGCGAGATGTACCAAGTGTGCAGATTTCCAAAAATGAAAGCATTGGTACTTTTAAATCAGATAAAATATTTCAAGTCCAAGGAAAAACAAACAGAATAATATCACAAAGACCAGTGTACACACAAATTAGATTTAACACGTTTGTCATATTTGCTTCTAATTTTTAGGAAATAAAATACTTTACAGAGTTACAATCTCTTTTCTATCCTTTCCTGAAAATTTCTCACTGCACCTGCCTCTTCAAAGGTGAACGCTATCCAGAAATTGATGTTTCCTCTCCTTCCATGTCTTTAGTTTCTATTACATAGTCATAGTCATACACCCATAAACAAAACAAAGCATTGTTTTGCAGCACTACTCGCATATTTATAAACACACACGTTTATGTCTGTTCATGTAAATTTTAAGAAGCCAGTTTTCTTTATTCCTTTTTTTACAATGGAAAAATAAAATATATATTCAAATACAATAAATTTATCAATAGTACTGGGCCAAATTAGATAGTCAACAACCAGACCTTCAAAACAATGTAAAAGTTTTACCGAAGATGTCATTTTCAATGAACAACCTCTTGCACTGTCTTTTATCTACTGATAACCAGGAGCACAATAAAGAAAGTATGTCTGGGTTCATTATAGTAGTCAATCCAGTGATTGGTCATTTAAATTTTTATCTGCAATTAACTTTAAGTACAGCTGGTATTGTTTTGTTTGTTCTGTTTCAGTTTGTTTTTTTAAATTTTTTAATAAGCTTATTACACTTTCATTACTTGAATAGCTAAGATGTTATATTCAAGAGGGAAAGAAAAAATCTAGAGAGTGCTTTTTTAAAAATCTGGAAGATACATACTTCAACACTTCCTATTCCCCTAAATGGCTTAAAATATTCACATGACATTTTTTTGTCCACATAACAATCTGAGATTTATTGAAGAAACAAAGCTTCTCCCTCTAAGCCGTTCTCTACATATTTAACAGTATCCTATCCTCAAAATGACTCTGATATTTCAACTCTTGAAACTGATGTGATATGAGAAGATATTCACAAATCTGCCAAGAATAATAAAAAAGAAAAAGCAAACATTTCATTTACAGCATCTAGATAGTAAACGCGTATGAATGGAGAAAATCATGGGTACCAACCAATCATTTCTGCATGTGTGCAGAAATAAAAATGTATGCACATGCACACACACTTCACCAATTATCTCAAACCGTAAGGTGAGATTACACTCCGATTGCCCAAGTGGCACCCTGCTAATCTGGGAAAGAAAATGAATGAGCATCCAATAGCGAGTAATCAGATATGATCCTCTTACCTCAACTAGCACATCTCTGTAACTTCTTTTTCTTCGTATAAGGAAGGACACTATTTATTTATCTAGTTAGTTAGTTTCATCCTCACCTGAAGACATGCTTATTGATTTTAGAGAGAGGGAAGGGATCAAGAGAGGAAAAGAAACATTAATGTTAGAAACATTGATTGGGTGCCTCTAATACACACTCCAACTGGGGTACACACCTACAACCCAGGCATGTGCCCTGACCAGGAATCAAACCCATAACCTTTTGGTTTATAGGACAATGCTCCAATCAACTGAGCCACACCAGCCAGGGCACTGTAACTTCTTAAAATCTTTCTGTTTTTAAAAAACTTTTAAAATTGAATTTATTAGGGTGACATTGGTTAATAAAATTATATAGGTTTCAGGTGTACAATTCTATACTAACCACCTGTACTTTGTATTGTGTGACCCCCAGTATAGCTGGTATTTACCTGAAAGAATCAGGAGTTCAATAATCTCTGCATCTCCCAGAAATGCGGCCACATGAAGGGGAGTTCGCTTCTCAGCATCCTGAAACAATGGCAAAAACAAACAAGTCAGTGGTGGTTGGAGGTACCTTTTGTTGACATGGTAAGACAAGTCACTCACTCTGAGGTGACAAACACCTAGTCAGGTGAGCTCTGGTTGTACATTGTGTCAGCCTCTCACACAGTCACATGTACAAAAGATTCCATTTTCTGTGTCGGAGTGCCGAGTGGGCGCCCCTGATCCTTTTATGGAAGAAGGCCAGCTCAGGTCAAGAGTGGATCGTCATGCATAGGATGATGAAACTGAATTTGTTTTAAAACCTTCAGTGAAGGCTGAAAAAACAAACTTGAACCATTCTATATGCCTTAACAGCCTAGTCCAAAGCCTTCAATGGTTTATTTTCGTTCTTGAATTGTTCACAAGGACATTAAACTTAAGTACAGTCATTTTCTTTTTTCCATCTCCATTAACTGTTGCCTAGCCTGCTTTCCACTCATTGTAATATTTATTGAATGCCTACTATGTGCCAAGAACCAGTTTCTGGGGACAGAAGGGTGACTGTGCCAGACCCAGTCCCTGCCTTCATGAAATTTATATTCAAGCGGGGAAGCCAACAGCAGTCATGAAAACAAATGACACATAAAATCACTTCAGATGCTGATAAAGGCTATAACCAAACTGAAACCAGGTAATGGGACCACATAACTGGGAAGGGGGGAATACACTTCCTCAGAGTTGTCAAGGAAGGTCTGTCTGAGAATGCTGACGACGAAGCTGGGGGCTGAGGTAGACATTACCTTTTCTATTTTATAGATGAGAAACTGTGACTCAAATACATTAACCAATTTCCTCAAGACCCCATTAGAACACAGCAGAGGCAAGCTTAGATCTCCACCGGTCAGACTCCAGGCTAAGTCCTTGGCAAGGCATTTAACATATTGTGCTGAGAGGCAATACAACAACATGCAGGGGGGAAAACATTGCTTCCCCATCTGAACCTGGGAGATAATACTATCTACCTTAGAGAACTGATAAGAGAATTCAAGACAATGTAAGTAGACAAGGCCCTGGGCAGGCATGAGGCTCTGTGCGCACACAGCGAGAGCTCCATGCAGAGCCGTTATTGCCATCAGCATCGATAGTTGTGTGATTTCTTCCCTCCAAGACGGACAACTCTCACAGGACAAAGACTCACTCCCATTTATCTCTACAGTAGTAGCAAACTAGGTGCTCAGCAGAAATTGGCCAGACCAAACCAGTCTGCGTGCATGATCTTCCCCAAATTCCACAGATTGCTCTATAACATTGGTAACCAGAGTCTGTATGCTGCCTTTCAGGTTTCTCCCGAAACTAGCATGCATTTTAGTTTCCTGAGATTCGTGGATTCACTATGAATTTTAATCATCATCCCTGTGATTACTTGATTGTACAATCCACCTAACAACCCTTGATTAGCCCAAGGATATTATTCCACTGTCTGACAGTTCAAGCCCTCTGCTCTCGTTCAGTCTCTTTCAGATGATCGCTTTTAGGCATTTCGTGCCTCACTAACATCTAAAACAGATGGCACGCAGGGGACGTGTCAAGAACTGATCTGCAAACCAGTCTATTTGTTAGGAGCTCTGGAAAACAGGTTTTATGAAGGGATGGACTAACTTTTAAGTGGATAAAAAGAAGAGTATGCATTAGCTGGGAATTCATGTTGTTGATGTATGTCGCAGGTAATTACTACAGGTAAGTGGGAATTGGGCAGTCTTGTATAATGGTATGCCTTGGAAAATTCAGTAAGGTACACAGACATGGTTCACCCTCTTATAACTAGCTATAACACCCTTTCTGTGAAAATGAAGATTCAATATTTGAAAACATATTTGCTTATTTGAGAATACAGTATTAACTTGTGGGATGAATTATACGAATAACTCAGACCAGATTTCCACAAATGTTTTCTATTCCCATTTTTTCTGTTGAGATTCTACAAGCACTTTCTTTCCATTTTAGTCTCATATACCCTTTGAATCCCCACTATAGCTGCTAAAAAATTTCCCTTGAGTCTTGGGATAAAAGTTATATAATTATACGTTCTTCTGTGACTTGAACTGGTTCCAGGATTTTGTTCAACAAATTAAACCTCACCTAAGTGATTTCAACAAGGAGTAACCCAACCCAAATTATGACTTCATTTGACCTGAAGCAAAGTCAGTGCTCTGTTTGAGAATTCAGCCTCAAATAAAGCCAAGAAAATGCTAATATCTAAATCTGGTGGCCTGTTATTATATGCCTGGCCTTGCAGATTCCGTGACCCCTTTTATGACACTTTCATGATGAGGCTTGTTCAAATTAAAGTTTCTATAGTATAACATGACCCTGTTATGTGAAATCATATTGTAAAAATTCTTGATTGCACATCCCAGTGTCTCCTGTTAATATGCATTTAAAAGTTTCCTGTAGCTTCCAGTACATGTATGCCAATTGATCATCTCCTTCAGTGACACACCACAGACAGGTAACTGCAGAGAAGGCCTATATTCAAGCAGAAGTCCTTTGGTTCTCTGAAGCAACAGAATCATACAAACGATTTCACGTGCTGTTAAGACCTACAACAAAATAACCATGCATTTCTATTACTGGCCAAGGGTTGCCAACAGCTGCTCTCCAGCAGGAACCTGGGTTATGTACAGGATCATGAGTCAAGGGGTGACTGACAGAGCTGCAGTCACCACCACACTCAGTCAGTGAAATCGTCCAGCAGTTTGCAGTTCCTCCTCTGCCTAAGTTTAAAGCCACTCTACTTTGCCATAAGCTGGACAAATGGAGCAGGAAATGCAATGGCAAAAAAGGGGGAAACGAGAATACTAGTAAAAATAGGTTCTAGGCCAGTGATACCCCTATGGTGTCTGGAAGAAACAAAACCTATCTGGTAATTATGGAATGCTTCTCATTTTTTTTCAAAATACTTCTTTTTTATCTATTCTACTACTTGAAGGGCATGACCTCCCTATCAGGGGAGACACATCTTTCAGAACTACGTGGTTAAAACCATTTAAGAGAGCATCTGGGTCCCTGAGCAGGCTGTATGACTTGCGCAAGACGGCCAACATGTCACGGAATTAGCTTCCTAGCTTCCCATCTGTGTTGTAAGACTGACTTAGGGGCAGTGTCTGGATCAACATTAGAATCCAGGACCAGGCCAGGACTGAAGCAGCGCTCCGGCAGAGAGGCCGGGCTACGTGTTCTGTGCCGCTGGCACGCACTTCTGTTTGTTGCCCACGTGAACTCTGTGATAACCGACAGCTGATGAATGGTCATGCAGGTCTCTACGCCACCTCTGAACTCAAGAGGAGAAAATAATTCAAAAGCAAGCACAGTAGGATCAACACACACTGGAAATGGTTCGTTGGAGTAGTTTTTAACAGACTGTTCAAGTATCACAAAAAACAGACATTTTTTTTTCCCATTACCTTGTATCTCCAATTCTAAGTTGCCCTTTGCAAACAGATTCGAATCCACAGAAAGACCTAGGCTTCTCCAGGAGGAAGGAAGGTAACCCCCCCTTTCTATAAATAGCCAAGACACACATAGCTAGTTGGCATCTGAGCTAAATTTGTAGCATGTCACAAAGAGATCAGGCAGAGGAAGTTTCTGCCATCTGTTTACCAAAGAAGCAGATGAAAGAAAATAAGGAACTCGAAGTGTATACACATAAAGAGAGCCTGACTTGGGCAGAGAGTTTATTTTGGAGGCTAAAAATACTGTGCAGACTGAGGAGGCACTCCAAGCCTTTGTCTTATAGATTCAGAATTGTTTATTACATGCTTCGGAAACTCTCAGAAGTGCATGATCTAATCTTCACTATAAGTATATGTCATACATTCAAACAAACATCCCTCCCTACATATAAATATCTTGCATACCAAGACAGACAGTTGGAGCAATATTAAGAAACAAGCCCTGCAAAGCCTTCCTGTCATGAAATACATTAAGTTCCGATCGTCAATCCTGACTCCCACTGATACCAAAGAAGCAGAGAAATACTGACAGGTTGTGCCCAACAAGCTTAATGTGACAACAGAGTTAAGCAAGGAGATGTCTAAAGACACTCTGAGCACAAAATAGGTCCCTTAGAAACACTTCAAATCATGTGAGGAAAGAGCCAAAGACACTTAATAGATTTAAGTTGAATGAGGCAAATAAGAAAGACATTTGGTTTTAGGTGGAGGATTAAAAGAAGTTTGTAAAGAAGAAAAGAAAGCAAAGCAGAAAAACAAATATGTTTCTTTTTAAATTTTGCATTTTTCTTTCAAGTTTTAGCATCTCACAAATGTAGACAAACAGAAAATGACAGATCTATATGTTCCTAACAGAAAAATCAAACATGTTAAACATTTTTCTGTATCCACTTCAGAACTTTATTTTAAAAATAGCTTTAGGGGTCAGGTGCCACAAATACTGTGACTTATTTGCAAATGGTTCAGAAAATAACTTGAAGAATGTGAAAGAGAGAGAGAGAATTTAGATAGGTTAGGCTGTTTCCAATTCTTCACCATTACCAATGGTATTGCCATGTACCTCTTTTTATATGCCTCCCTGTGCACGTCTGAAAATTTCTCTAAAGCAGATACCAATAAAAGGATCTATTCATATTCAACTATATCAGGTATTACCAAATAGCGTTCAAAAATAGTTTTCCCAATTAACACTCTCACCAGCCACATATTAGGTCCTTTTCCCCTGCATTCTTGCTAGTATTTGATGTTATCGCCCTTGTTACTCATTGCCAATGTGATGTACACAGCATGGTATTTCACTAAGTACAAGTGAGGCTAAGATTCTTCTCATATGTTTATTAAAAACTCTGGCTTCTTCAACTGCAAACTGCCTGTACAAATCCTTTACTCAGTTCTACATTCAACTATTAGCCCTTTTCTTATGTGTGGAGTCTTTAAATATTATTTAATCTGACTTTCCATTCAACTTTCAAAGTATGCCTTCACTTAGACACAGCAAAGACAAATCAATGTCTACTACAAGTCACCATGAGA